GAGAGAGAATCCTTGATTGGCTGCCTCCTGCTCAATCCTCAGGGATTGAGCCTGCAATCCAGACACATGACCTTGACCAGAATCAAACTCGGGACCCTTCAGTCCACAGGCTGATGCTCTACCCACTGAGCCAAATCAGCCAGGGCCCACTTCTAATATTAAACATGAAATGTGAGCTGCACATACATTTAAGAAAGATTAGTAAAAGCAAGTTAGATAATTCTTTTCCAACCTGCTTATTCCATTTCAAGGTCTGGGTGGCCAGAGAGCAGCTCAGGGAGCAATGCAGGGGTCTATCCTGGATAGGACACCCTTCCATGGCAGGAAAATCGTGCACACAGACACACACACACACACACACACACACACTCTCACACTCACACTCATACACTCACCCAGACTGGGACAATTCAGACACACCCATTCCCCTCACGTACACATCTTTGGAACCAATGTCCCCAGAGAAAACCCATGCAGACGTGGGAGAACGTGCAAACTCCACACAGGCAGTGAGAGGCCTCAACAGGGAATCAATCATTATTTTTCTCTCATCAGCATTATCACGAAACTACGTTGACTGAGAGGACATTATCAAGGACTTGCTGTACTTTGAGTTAAGAGGACAGCGGAGAGATCATCTATATCCTGATGGAGCACTGCCTTCCCGAGCAGCCTTCTACTCTAAGTGCCCAGTTCTCAGGAGTGCTTCCCTTGATGAGCTTCCTTTAAGGTTTGAGAGAAAATTAGATGTTAGAAAAATTAATTGGAAATTGGACCTTTATCTACCCTATTGAGTTCTTCACATTATGTGTCATAGTTTGTGCTTTATAACTTGTTTATTCGTTGGAGTTAGTAGAGGAACTAAAGAGGAATAAGATTTCTAGGAAATTCCAATTTAGTAAGTGAGGCACAGAGCCCCCAAATCTGGGTTTTAAGCCAGTTCCCTAGTTCCTTTCTACTTGAAGTGTGGTCCTTGGACAAGTAGTATTGGTATCACTGGAAAACTTTAAAAAAAATGAGAATCTAAGGCTCCACCCTAAAACATCTGAAGCATTTTAGTAATATCCCCAGGTATTTTGTACATGAATTAAAATTGAGAAGCACTGATCTAAGGAGTCTAGTCAATACCCAAGTTTGTTAACCAGATGATGGACAGTCAAGGAAGGCCTGACAGTAAGACATCATTATTTATTATGATTGAGTTGCATGTATCTCAAACATGTGTGACTTATTAACTGTCTTATCAGGATAACCCATGCATAATTAACTAGATTTTGGGAACTGTTTACTGCAAAAAAACCCCAAAAAATCTTAGCCCAAAATGAACGCCTGTCTGCCACATTTC